TTACATACTTTTAACAAAACCATTATACCCTGATTTCCCATTTTCAATGGGTTCAAGGTATAAAAATACGAAGTTGATTGGTGCCTACGAGATAGATTTTTCGGCGCGGAACAAATTTTTTCTACTTGTCTAGTCGATGGTTAGCGTTTGAACGTACATATGTACATACAGTATGTACATATATAAATATGTATGTATGTATATTATTTACTTACTTCTGAAAACACGGGATATGAACTCTTTTGTATCAAACTATCACCCACCAAGTTGGATGTTAATAGTTTTGCTAAGTTATGCCAGTCTCGTCCTAATATACATTTGCGAGCTAAATTCAACTTTTTGTGCGTATCGGAATGGTTGTTAAGCTCATAATTAACTGGCGGCGCACATGATGAATTTTTGTTTAACCAAAATGTATCATTTGAATCAGTAAAAATTTTAATTGTACGGGATAGAACATGTTTTGGTATTGGCTTTGGCGGAAATCTTAAGGAGCTGAATTTCCTTTCAAATTTTTCTTCATACTCTTGTAGTTGGTTTGTCTTCATTACTAATAAAATACCACCTTCAGGCTTTAATAAGAACAGAAGTTCATATAATGATAATACACATATAATAATTATCTTAATATTTATTGTCATATCGATATACAAGCGATGTTTAATTATTTTGAGTCATCGATATTTGATATACCTTAAAAATATTTGGGGGATTCTTGATGGTCTTTTTATTAAAAATATTATTTTAAATAAAATACAAAATTTATTTAGAGTTTTGTTCATTATTGTTTAATAATGATATTGAATCGGAATTGTATTGTAATAATTTTGAGTCAAATCAGAACTTGTATAAGCTTAATATTATATGTTGAAAATGTTATTGTTAATCTAAATAGTCAATGATTTAAAATGGATTACATTTTACATCTAGTTTTTTCACGTTCTAAACGCTTACAATTTTTGAGATCGATATGTCTATGAAAATACTAACAAATCGATATACATAAATATATCTGGCATCCCTATTATTAAAAGTAGTCGGCATATCAATAAACTCAGCATTTGTTTACATAAAAATTGGAAACAGCATAGCTTTTAAAAAGAGTTGCAATATTTGTCAACTTTAATATCTGTGGAATTTGAGGTATAGTTAATCTATTGCTTTTTATTTACTTTCTCTTTTGCAGCCAATTGTGTACTTCGAATAGAATCAAACTATTACATTATTTTAGGTTCAAAATGGATATTAAACCGCATTTGAATTTATTGCAATCCGATTTGACGGTTGGCAATACAATGTCAATGGACAAATATATTAAAAGCGAAATTACTTTTGAGGAAGAACAAATAACAGAGACTTCTTTCATGGATCTTCCAATGGAACAGATTTGTCAAGTGGAATTCGAGACAGTTTTGGACTCCAGCGAGGCTTGTAGAAGTCTCAATAATAACGTCGGTGAAATGTGCGCACTACAAAAAGATCCTGAACCATATCAATATATTGATTTGGAATTTTCGGATGCTTTAAATGATCATAACTATACATCTCAAGAAGCGCTCTTAGCACAACCTAGTTTGGATAGTGTTAAAGATGTACTTCGGAGTTACATGATAACCAATAGATCAACTGTTGAAACAGTCCCAGAAAATGTTAACACCTTTATAGAAAATACAATTGATAAAATTAAGCAGTTTCAATTGAAGAAATCAGATAAAAATGCTGTTGAAAAATCTATTGAGAGTCTCACTCAGAGTAACAATGCGACTCTTTCAGAAAACTGTTCAGAGCCTTTGGAAGTTGAGGGTAATGATGAATATTTTGAAAGCCTTTATGAACACATGACTGAAAATGAAAGTGTGGCAAATAACGTGTTTAAGAATACAATTGATTTCGTAAAGGATTTTTATAATGAATGCAAATCAATGTCATCCAAAACGGAAGAGGATTTCAAAGATTATATATTTGTAAAAATTAAAAAACTTATGATAGCTGCCAATATTATAAAAACAACTGATCAATCTACTCAAACGTTTTCGAAAGGTTTGGTAAAGAGAAGACTTCGAATTAATCATAACGCAAAAAAGTATCTATTAGATACATCTGCTACTTCAACTACAGAGAGTGAGTGTGGTAGTTTGGATGATCTTAAGGAAAACGAATGTGCAAAAGATCGAAACTTTTTGGCTAAGACTTTTGAATACAGCGACGGTATTGATCTTAGAAAATATATTAATTTAGATTTCAACAAAAGTAGTTTTTGGCAATCTTGTGATTTTGATAATGATAACTCAAATTCATGTTCATCAAATGGTACGGATAAAGAAATAGAAAGGTGTGTTGTTATATATTTGCATTTAATAATGTTTAACTTTTCACTAACTATAAGTTGTTTAACTTCCTTTACATTTTTGTTTTATTGATTGAGTTTTATGAGACCAGCAAATTTTGGTAAAACAAATAAAACCTAATTGGTACACTCATTTAAAAGATAGAACCGCAATATTCCGATATAATTAAGGTATCTTCTATTCAGATAGTCTCGTCATGTTAAAACAATAACTTTATACTTTTCTAATTATAATGCTCAATAACAATGTTTTCAATGAATAGGCTTACCAATTTAAATGGACTTAAAAAGCGACATGTGCAAAACAGGGGAGCCAAATCGAATGATAAAATCAATCAAAAACTTGTAGCTAGTAAAAATGCAACTCGGCCTACTGAACTGGATGATGATTTGGAGATGTATGATACTGAACACAGTTTCAAACAAGTGAGTTTGTATGTAGTTCTATAAGAACATGTACAAGATGTTATTTTAAGAATAAAAATTCTTTATAATATCTCATATACTAAGCCAATTTTTTTTTTAGAGTGAAGATGAGGTTATAACGGAGAACCAATACCTTATACGATTTAATGAGCAAGTCAAACAACAATTATTAAATGAGTCAAACAGTGATGATTCTGGTCTTTCGGATCAAAGCGAATACAATCTATCGAAAGAATCGTCTACTGAAGATGAAAATACTACGGATGTAGTAGACAAATTTCTGCAAGTTTTTGAATGTGAACCAGATATTATGAATAGGGACGAAAAAATTATCGAAACTAAAGAAATTAACGTTGAATCTGAGAAGAAAGAGACTGATAGTTCTGAAGTTTGTGATGAACTATGGAATGATAACTTTATTCACAAAAATAAGCCCAAAAAATCATTGGAGAAACTATTATCTGAAGCGGAAAAACGTAATCAAAATGAGGAAATCGTGCTGAGTTCAGAGAGTGATTATTCTGATGCTGAGCCAGAACCGGCTGAAGAAAAGACGAGACTTATTAAGCCAATGCTTCGCATGGATCAGTTGGCCAATGAAACAAGAGCTGCTCAAAAATCAGAGAGTGAGAGAATACGAAGATTGGAAAAAAAACATGTTATGCTATCGAAGGCAATAAAAAATAAATTAGGAAATTCAAAAAAAGGTGATTTAATACTGGATTACATGGAAAACACAAAAACTTTTATCAAGGTCGATGATGACATCGTGAAACAATTAAAACCGCATCAAATCGATGGAGTTAAGTTCATGTATGATTCATGTTATGGAGGAATTGATCACTCTAAAAAAAACTCTGGCTCGGGATGCATTTTGGCTCATTGCATGGGCTTGGGAAAAACATTACAGGTGAAACGTTATTCAAAAAACATTTTCGAAACAAATGAACATTGTCTAAATACCTTTAGTTAATAGCATTACTGCATACCGTTATATCATACAAGGAACTAAATACAACAAAAGTCTTAGTTCTCTGTCCAAAGAGTACGGTTATGAATTGGGCTGATGAAATGCAACGCTGGTTGGGGCCCCTGAAAAGTAGTACTCATATAAAAGTTTTCGTTTTTCCGGATTCATCGTAAGTTTTAATTTTAAATCAAAATTAATAAGTTTTGCATGTGCGTAGTATAGAAATACATTTTAGTTTGGTACCTTTAATTCTGTTTAAAAGTTTTTTTCTATTCAACGACGTAGCACAAATTACATCATTTTTATACCCTGAACCCATTGAAAATGGGAAATCAGGGTATAATGGTTTT